CAGAAGGCCCGCACCGTTATCCACAACAACGTCGAGGACATTGTGTGGAAGAGGCCCGATGTGATGGTTGTGGAGCCGGTGGATGGAACTGCTGTCACAGCCGAGACTGCGCCTATGCTTCCCCATGCGCCGCCTCAGAGAGCCGCGATGGCTGCGCCTAGAGCTACCAACGCGACCTACATTGCCTGAGGTGGCAGCGTTCGATCCCATTCGTGGGCAAAATGTTTTGCTGGTCTTCCACCACCTGGATCTTGGATTACAGAGATTGCATAGATTGCAAGCGTCCCCTGGGGGTGCCGTGTCGCTTTGGTGACGGCTCTTGTTCGTGAGTGTGCCAGTCTCTGCTGCAATTGTGCTGAAGGATTGTGGCCATTACTTCTTACGGCGTTTTTGATGCCTGGCCATTTCATCATCAGCCCCTGCCTGGATAGTCGAGGAGTGCCTTGATGTTGAATAGCGCTTAAGAAGGCCTGCCGAGCCTTAGTTTGGGGCGCCTGCTCAAATGAAATCGCAGAATCAACCGTACTCTGGATTTTTCTCCAAGTCGCATTGTTTCAAATAACGGAACTACGTAATTACGAACTTCGTTCTACAATATACAAATTATAAGTTTGAAGCGTTTTGTAAACTTCTGTGCTTTGCGCTGCCTTAACAACAATTCTCGGAACAGCACCAGAATAGATCGCTTTGTAGAAACTTAAAAATCGGTGTGGCAATCCGGAACATGCCAAAAACCACATGATTTTCATTAGAGACTTTCTGGTGACAGCGATGAAGACTTAGAAAAGGAAGGTTTTCGGCGAAGAAAGAGGTAATTCTTCTACATGCTCTATATGATCTATATGTTCTATATACTCTATATACTTCTATTGCCACAATATCTCAACTGCAGATCACAGCTTTTGTTGGTAGCAGGATATGACAGGGACACTAGTAAAAATTGGCCATCGTAAACGGTGTACAATCGTGCATAATCGGGTAAAAGTCCGGCATCATGTGTTTGTGCCCTGGTGTATTCTGAATGTGACAAAAATTTTGTCATATAAATGTGTCCTATCAAGCCAAGCTTCTTCCACTTGGTTCAAGATGGAAAATGTATCGTTGCACGTCACATTCCCACATAACAAAGAGGGCAAGCTCAAGACTTGTTCCGAAATGAACTCCTTCTGGTAGCTTTCAGTCTCCCACCCCTACAGCTTAGCATTAAAGACCGCATCAGTAAAGTGTGTCAAACCCAATTAAGCAGAAGAGGTCGCCCATAATAGTAGGTACTCATTTAAGCGCACATAATGAATAAAAAACCTGCTGGTAAGCTGAATCAAAGGTACCGACCGGTTCATCTGTCGTCCTGTGGGGCGCGCTGCGCATCGGGTTGCGGTGCTAATAGCGGTGAAGGTGTAGCAATCAGTAATCTGCCATGAGTAAGTTGGAGCCCCTCTTATCTGAAATGCGCTCACTTTCCCGTTCGAAGGGAGGAGAGTGGCGGAAAACCAGATGCTCATAGCGCAGCCCATTCACGACGAAAACTGGGCACTGTGAGAAGTCCGCACTGCGAAATCGTCGACCAAGTCAGAGCGCAGCGCAAAGTGGCGACAGTGGGTAGATGCGGGGGGCGCTACGGTGGAGAAAGATCCCAATTGCGCGACTGAACTTCACTTGGATCTTGGCGCACGAACCGCAGCCATGTCTGGAAAGTCGCGTCAAAGCCACTGAGATTGACGATGTGAGATCAATAATTTGGAGGGCAACCGCTGTCTGCTCAATGATTGACTCACACCATCAGACTGCTCTGGGAGAACTGTGCTCTTAATGGTCCATTTCCCAGCAACGGACCCTTCATCTTCCAGCTGTACGGATTTCAACAGCTGGGTGGAACGTAGCGTTTGTGGGGCAAGGTGACCGAGTGTTGACGCCAAGGTCCTAAAACGATGTTGCCCTGGAAGCAGCCAGCACGGCCGTGGCAAACCATGCTCGGGTCCCACAGCGCTGCAAGAGGTGCTAACGTGGAGGTGCTGAGAAGGACCTCCGTTTTATTAACATGGATCCAATTTTGATTCTAGTTCGCGACCTCCGGTTTGTAGGGCCGGTAGGCAGTTGCCCATCATGCCCTGCAGCCCGTGGGTTATTCAAGCGGGCGGGCAGCTTTCGAGAGCTCTTTGCCATCACGACCGCGCGTGCGCACGCGCATGCGATGTGACACAATCACAGACTGAGACTGCCGAACGCAATCTGGGGTCCTCGCGTCGATTAAGACCAATGCGGCCGCCGCTGTGGCTTGCGATCCAAACGTGCGGGCAGAAACGGGATCCCCACAAGGGTTCCCGGGTCGCATGGCAGGTGCAAACTGTTGCTACGGTGCAATGGACACAGCAGTCAAGAACGCGGTGAGCAAAACTGTCACGGAGAGAAGAACTTCAACAACACAACCTAGCGGGTGGGCTAACTACGAGCGAGTGGGCCATGAATGGATAAAGCAGGAAAGAAAATGTACAGAACGTCGGGCCCAACGCCCGACTTCCGTCCTGATGACCTATAATTCTGATAAATTGCTCGAATCGCGATTTGGCCAATTCTGGCTGCAGTTGCCTGTCACCACATGCGCCCTCCCGCCCACCCCAGCAATCCCGGCCCCTCTCCCCTGGCTGGGCCGCTCACCGCCAACGGCTCGAACATGTCTTCGGGGGCGAAAGCCGGATACGTCCCGCTGCGAGGCCCTGAAGCGGTGGCGCCCGCGGGCCACGCAGACGGCCCCGGCTACGCGACCGTTCCCATGGGCCGCCCGTGTGTCCAGCGGGAATGGAAGGACCCCTGGTACTGCTGCTTCGGCGACTGCGATGGTATGGGCTGGGCCGTCTGCTGCGCGACAACCTGGTGCATGCCCTGCGTCTTCGGGTAAGGGTCACCACGCCACTGCACTCCGAGACTTCCGTGTAATTGCCCGCTGCACGGGCGGCATCTCCGGAGGACTGAGCTGCCCGCTATTTCCATGTTTCCTGTGCACTGAGCGTGACGGGACGCAAGATGTGTCGTTTCAGAACGAGAGGGATGAAAGGCCCGCAGGGCGGCGCCGACATGGCGAGGCTTCCCGCCAGTTAGCCCTGGTGCCTGGAGAGGCGCGTTCCTCGCAGCGTCAACTGAGCCGAAGAAGCCGTGTGCATCCTCCCATCGGGCACCGATCGAAAAAGGCCGCCCTCAATAGCTTCGAACGCGCCCTTGTGCGTGGGCAAGGCCTGTGTGGATGTGAGCTTCCGCCCTTGGCGAGGTTTGGGACACCAGCTTCCATCCAGCTGGTGCTGGACCGGCTGCCGGCCTGGGCCGGCAGTCGACGTGCCGCGCGACCTTCCAGTCCGCCGCTTCACTTGGGAACAGAATTTCCGAGCCCAGAGACCCCGGCCCTTGGAACCTGACGCCCATTATCCAATAGGACCAGCATCCTTTGACTGGCAGACAGCGGAACTTCCTTAGGAACCTCGTCAGCCAGAGGCGGATTTTGGCAAACGGCGCTGCCGCCGCTACGACGCCCAGGACGCCGGCGCTGTCGGCGCCTGTCGCAGGCCGTGGCTGTGAAGATGTCAGAGCTGGGGACTCGCGTATGGGCGGGGGGAAGGGGGTACCTCGAGCCCCCGATCGCAAGCAGCGCACCAAAGCGGGGCGACAGTCTGGCAGCTTGACGCCGCGACCGTCCCAGAGGCGCTGCCACGCCAATCCGCGATTCGACACCGCGAAAAAGTGCGGTGAGCCACTTGACCGACCTTAGATCAAGTATAATCCGCGGGACGGTTGCACTTTAGAGTGGGGCTGGGTCAGCTGCCGGTGGCAGACACCGGCAGAAAACGCGTGTTGGCAGCGGCGGCCTGCGTGTCGTTCGGCAGAAATTGACGCGTCGACCACTACTTTGATGCCATTCTGGCAATCACCCACCAGTACAAAACAGTCTGTTTGCGACGCTAACTGCGACGCCATTTCGAGACAAATTGATGCCATCACAGCCCGTTTTATGCCGTCGCAATCACTGCGACGGCACCATTTTGTGTCAAAATGGCATCGCATCTGGCATCGCAAACATGACGTTTTCTACCAGGTACCGTGGTGATGGCACCTGCTGTGAAAAGGCATCGCAGTTGGCGTCGCCAAATGGCGTTTATGCCATTGAACTGGCTGCGATCAGGCGACATGGCTGACGTGCTCGTGCAGGCCTGGAGCCCACTGGCTGTCGAACACATTTGCCAGCTCAGTCCTTGTCACTTTCGTGGGTGGTCACATTAAATTTGAAGCAATCACCTTTGGCGATAGATTTCCCCAAGCGCAGAAAGGCGCTGCTAGGCAATTCATGATGGGGCTGGCTGAAGCAATAGGTTGACTGCTTTGGCCACCTGGTCGGGGTCACTCTCCAGGCGCGGGTAAGGCGGCAGCAGTCCAGGGTGGACAGAAACATCCTTCTCCTCTTGTAAAGGACAGTTGAATGGGCAATTTGCGTCACCAAGAGCACCAAATACTTCCCGAATTACACTGCGGCACATCCGTTGGTGCCTATCCAATGCTAGATGAAACGAGATCTGGAGCAGCGGACAGTCTGTCTGCAGCTTTTCGTGTTGATTTCAGTCCCCCGACGCCAAGTGGGCGTGAAGCGGAGTGGGTAGGAATTCCCGCTGGGAATGAGATCAGAACCTTGCATTGGAGTTGTCTGGGTGCTCGCGCCATGAATGAATATAGGATTCAGTGCGCGTCCTGCAGATGGCAGCTCCGTTGAACGGGGCTTCGATTGTATTGCACCCTGTAGGTGGTGTGGGCTGCTCTTCACATGTGGGTTTGCTTGGAAAATGCCTTGTCCTTTCAGTCTCCAAAACCGCTCCATTGAGCGGATGTTGAGTAGCGGAAATTCGCAAAAGTCACCATTGAGTGGATTTGACGAACTGTGATGAATCGCAGCTCTTCACCCATCATGTTCTATGAGGGAGTGCCTGAATTGACATTGGGGTTCCCATCTGTTCTTTCGCCAGGTTTGTCAAGCACCGAGCTTTTGGCGACAAGTGCAGGGCAGTCAACTGGGCAATTTACTACACCGTCATGTTGGTCTTCTACGTGTACATGTACAGCCTGATTGTGCAGGTCCAGGCGGACAAGGAAATCAACTCCGCCACGTACGGGGGAGAGGATGGAAGCTTCCTTCAGAGTAGGCTCAGCATGTACAAAATGTTGCTTTGGGCAGCAGTCATCGCCATGATAGCTCCCGGTGTCTGCAACCGCATGGCGATGCGCAAGAAGTTCGACATCCCCCACAAGGTTCCCGAGGCGGCTGGGTGGGGCGACTCCTGCCTGTGGTTCTGGTGCAACAGCTGCGCCTTGTGCCAGGAGACCCGCACCATTATCCACAACAATGTAGAGGACGGCTTGTGGAAGGGGCCCGACGTGGTGGCTGTGGAGCCGGTGGGTGGAGCTGCTTTCACTGCTGAGACTGCGCCCATGCTTCCCTGTGCGCCGCCCCAGAGGGAGGCGATGGCTGCGCCCAGGACTGCCCAGGACCAGACCGCCCAGGACGGGACGGACGTTGTGTGAGGTAGCAGCGTGCTATGCCGAGGGTTGGGGAAAATACCGTCGTAATATTCCACCACCTGGATAATGGATTGCTGAGTTTGCAGCGGCATTCTCTGGACATCCTGTGTCCGCTGCGTAGATGGCAGTTCTTGCTCATGAGCTCGTGCCGGGGCCGATACAATTGGACTGAAGGTTTGGATCCTGAACCGTCTGTTCTTATTTGGGGACGTGTGCTCTTGCGGACCGCGCTTCTCATTCAGTAATGTGGATCTCACTTGAAACAAATAGTGAGAACTTCTTGTCTGGGTGCTGAAGGTGTGGATTGAGAGATAGCAGATTTTTGAAATGTCTGGTGAGGGTGAATGCCGGGCAGAGTCAGGTGTGCTTTGTATTTGACGTACTCTGCAAATGTGATTCTAGTGATTTTGATATTGGAATCGGGGTCTTTCTGTGAAGTCTGTTATTGTGGCAACTTCCTCTGCCTTAGCGCTATTGCCAAAACGGTACTTGATGCGATCAATGTGTGGCCTCGCACTGTTTTGTGAGTGTTCGACACTGCCAACGCCATGGTCAAGAGAAGGTGCTATAGTACATGTTACGATTTGACTGTGGGAGTTTGATGGGCGCCGCCAGAAACAACGTGTTCATCCAGAAATGGGTGCAGCCATGTACAAAACAACGAAACCGCAGATGAAACAATGCGCTGACGGGACAGAGAACTTTGGGAAACGCTGAAGCAGCGTGGTGAGGTCGTCCGCACTACCTAAAGGAAGCGTACTGGGAATTGTGCTCGGCACAATACCTCTCCCTGATTGTCACAAGCTGACTATACTGCTTTCAACAAGTCACATAATATGTTGCCTCAACACACAAGGCCCATGGCCACTAACCAGTTGACCCTTAGGTACATGACTAAACTTAATACATCAGACCTTGGTGGCTTGTACGCCAATTCATCTTCCAGCAATCAAAAAACGAACAAACCTACACCCGATAGGGCCACACCTTCAAATAACGTAGTGCATTAAAACATTCCGCATTTGAAATAGCAGTGCTACAATTTTGGTCCGCATTTTTTTACTAAATTTTAATTCTCACTCTCCGCATGATGCCCAGCGGGCGCAGGCTGGGCAAAACAACATGCCGGCCAGGTTTCGGGTGGAGATGGCCAGTCAACAGCCTCCCGCTATGCATGTGCCTTGAGGCCGATCCAAGGGGCTCGCAAAGAGATTATCAGCGGAACGTTCTGCACGTCCCTGGCTCCGGGGATCAGCCTCAGCGACGGGCGGTGCAGTGGCTAATGCTCTCGAGGTTGCAAGACGTCTTGAGGAATCCAAGGACCATGGAGTCGCGGCTGGCACCGATTTGTTACGGAAGAGGTAATTTCCATACGGCTTTTGAGTGCAGCAGGGCCACCCAGCGGCACTTTAGGTTGCTGCGAACCCAGCTCTGTGACAAGTCAGCTAATGCGTCAATGTTTTGGCAGCTCCGCATTTGTATTTGGTGCTGTTGCGCTTTTGGTAATTGATCCAAGAAAACCCTAACAATTACTCTACGATGCGGAAGCGTTCAACACATGACGATACACGCCCCTGCTCCAATGGCAAGAGTGCACAATGTGACGTGTATCCTTTGGATCATATTTGAACGGTGCCTGTACGAAGCTTTGTTTGGAGCTGCCGAGGACTGGGTCGTCAGCGACAGGTTTGCTGCCGGCAATGTTTACATAATGCCAGCTGCATGGCCATCGCCTATCCACACCTGTTCAATCAAAAGACTATTTTTACCGCCACCCTACTTCTGCTCGACAGGAGTTTCCTCCTTCCCTACAGGTACTTGGGTCAAGCTGCTCAGGAGGCATGTCATATGATTTGCACCAGTACAGCGCCCATGACCGACCATGATTTTCCCACCTTAAACCAAAAGTTCAACGAAGACCGGGAAGAAGATTCCGATATCTCATGGATGTAAGTGGCCGGGCGGCCATGCCATCCAGCAGCCGAGGGAATTTTCCTCTTCTGCTGGATGGCGATAGTGATTGCAATAATTATGAAAGGTCTGCCAATTTGTGCCAATGGACCCGCAGAAGGCTGAAAGGAGACGGTCCGATAGGGGCGCTGTGGGCACTGGGGGTGGGGGTGGGGTGGGGGGGTGGGGTTGGCCAACCCACGGGGGGCAATTGTCGCGCGGTCTCTGTCTCGGTCTCTGTGCGCAATCCATGTCGAGTTTGTTGGGCACAGACGCACCGGCTTGCTCGCATCCGCCAGCGGTCTGGATATACCATTCATGCAAGCGCTGAGGCCGCCGACCAAACAGTTCCGGGAGTACAGCTTCTGGAGTACTTTCGATGCCTTTTTAACCACTACGTGCTTGGCATTTCTCCGACAAAGCTGCTTTTGTTATTTGCAGGCTCAGCGAAAACGGGCAAAACGTCGCGTTGGTATGCTGAAGGGTGATTAATCAAAGGTATTATTGAGGGCGAAGTGGCATATTTATCAGTGAAATTTTAAAATAAATGCCGGGGGGGAAATTTACTGATCAGAAGTACACATATTCCAAATTGTCGCCTGAAAGCCTCGCGCACCGGCGAAGAAACCGGAAGCACTACAAACATAGAACAGTTGAGAAGATTACCGGTGAAACATTGCCCGTCGTTGCCAAAATGTGGCGCATTTCACACTGATTCCAACATCCGGCCAAAACCGCGTTGAGGGGGCAGCGGGATGTATACACCTTAACAGTGCGTTTGGTGCTATGTTTCACCAGTCTACTGCGCGACCCATCATGGCAGCATGGAAACAAATTCGTACATATAAATTACTGCGCACTGCTTCCACAGTCGGAAATGATCGTACAAGGTCCAAACATGCATTTTTTTCGAGAACTTGCGTGGAACAGGCAACAAGCAGCACACAAGCTTCTGCATTCTTAAAAATGAGCATGCAACATGATGTGCCCCTGAGAAATGATTTCCCATGAGTTTATAATGATTTTCCAGAAACTGCGCTCCTGTGGGAATGGTGCGCTGTCAGGGGCATACGCATTGCTGTAGAATCTTGCAAGTCCAACTTGAGAGCTTTTTGATGAAATGTTCATGGACAATTCTACATTGTAAGCAGCGATTTTGAATACTTAACACTAGGGGAAAAAGGGCCAGATAACACTTTTGCGAACACACAAAACACATTTCATCAAAGTTCTGCACGGTAAGAACACAAAAATAACACAAACCCGTAAACTTTGTACACGTTTGAGCACGTGTTATTTGGCCCTTTTTACCTAGTGTACTTCCCAACAAATTTCACATCAGCAGTCAACGACTTTCTGCATTCCTGGCATCGAACAAGCTTGGGTACTTTCCCTGTGCACCCTTCCTGCATATAGCTATAATCATCGTCCAGAAATGGTATCCAAGATCTCAGTTATTGTGCTCATAGTGGGGCGTGCCTTAGGGTCCACATTGATACACTGTTCCATCAATTGCTTCAGTTCTGGTGGGCAATCAGGAGGAAGTATAAATGGAGGCTTTCCGTCAGTCTCCCGTGCCATGACAGCATGATCCTTTGCCCCTCTATAGAGTACTTGCTCTGATAAAACCTGGTACAACAGGGCTCCGAAACTGAAAATATACGCCTCAGTTGATGAGTGTGCGACTTGGTAGAGCTCAGGTGCTTTCCAATATGATGTTCCCCCTGTACACCTGACACTCATGCTGGCTGTCCAATCATTGAGCACTGACAGACCAAAGTCGGCAATCTTGATTTCACAGTTCAGAAGATTTCTCATATCCCCGAATAATAGAATGTTGGGGCTGTTGATGTCGCAGTGCATAACAGGCGGTTTTCTGCTGTGCAGTAAATGCAGTCACACGGAAACTTGCCTCAGCAGCCACAGTTTTGAAGGGCAGTCCAGCTTCATCCGATCTTCAATCATCTTGTGCAGACCTGCAGACGCCAACTCCATAACCTTCATCCCCTGCCTTGTCACAGCCAACAAATTGACTATGCTCCTGTGCTTCAAAGGCGCCTGGATGAAAACTTCGTTATAGAACGAAGCACAGTCTTCCAACCTGGGAAGCGGATCGGCTTTGGGTCCAAACTGTTTCGCTGCCACTTGCAAACCAGAGAATACTGCTGTGTACATACGACTGAATCCGCCCGACCCAATGTGCTTTCCCATCTTAATTTTCCTCGTTGCTGACTATTTTTAGGTTCAGAAGTCGCTCTTGGTGCTGTTGTTTTGCTCGCCCCAATCTTGGATCAGTTCCAATGAGATTTAGCATAGTGCCCTGGCTGGGCCTCATGGATTTGCTTTCGAAAATGTACTCAAGACGCAACCTCAGATGTCTGCCGTCCTCCTCAAAAGCTGTATCATGTATTTTCCAACCGATGCAAATGCCCAGACAGTATAGCACCACATGTGCATGAAATGCCGCGGCAGATTTCCACTATTGCAGTTCGAGCTTGCTGCGTTGTGCACAACAATCTGAGGTCGAATCCCTTTGCGTGGCGCTCAATCAGCTTCGCACAAACTGCAACATCATTTCCGATACTGGAAGAATAGCCTGCCTGTGAACCCTGGGGCAAGCCGTCTTGCAGAATATCCACAAGGCAGTCAACATTTTCCAGAAGGCTATCCGCCTGTCGAGCCAGAAACTTCATCAAAATTCCATTGTACAACACTGGCACGATGTTCTCCCTCGAGCTGTGCATACTATCCGTAATGGAGCGTCGAGTTTTATCACGAATACATCCGGAAAACCCATTGTGAATTTGTCCTTGTACGCTCTCAGTGGAAAGTTGTGTGCGCGGGTGTGGCGCAAGTCTCCATAACTGCACAACAGCAGAGTGAGAAACAAAGTGAGGGGAAAACTGTGAGCATTTGATTCCTGATTCCTAATTTCTTGTGGCATAGAATCCAAAGAAGTCGAATATGCTGCCCGATCACCGCCGCAGTTGCATACAGTCACTCGGCCATCCAGATTGCCGATTGCTGAGAACCGCACCCAATTGTCGACAATG